GGTAGGCCGATAGGAATGCCGGGACGGTCGGTCCCTGCTCAAAGGAGGGCGCGGACTTCTCCCGACGTGGACGAGGCCCCCGATGTTCTAGGCCTCCCAGATGGGGTCCGAGTAGATGGGGTCGGAGGATCGCGCCGCATCGCCGAGGCATCGGCGGTGTGGCTCGATGTGGAGCCCGATTTTATCCACGCCGACGTCGCCGATGCATCGCCCATACATCGATGATGCATCGACGATGCGGCGCGATTCTCCGACACCATTTGCTCCGATCCCATCTGGGAGGCCTCTAGATGTGCTCTCTGAGTTGTTGTGATTATATGTGCCATTGGACCCCTGTCGCGCAGGTCACCCGCGGGGCAACTTTTAGTATGATGCGGCGCGATCACATTGCCATCACCGTGTTCGTGCTCATGAGACGTAGTGATGCCCGATGAACTTGAGCCGCTGAACCGCAGATCCTAGATCGCAGAAGGATGGAGGATGGAGGAGGATGGAAGGTGGACGAGGCTGGTGGAGGAGACGGAGGAGCAGGAGGAGGAGGAGGACGAGGAGGAGGAGGAGGAGGAGGAGGAGGAGGGTGAGAAGAACGAGGCAGATCAGGAGGATGGAGGAGGGAGGAGAGGAGGAGGAGGAGGACTGGTGGGGGACGATGAGGTTGCCGGAGGATCCAGGAGGAGGAGGAATAGGAGGAGGAGGAGGAGGAGGAGCAGGAGGAGCAGGAGGAGGAGGAGGAGAAGGAGGAGGAGCATGGAGGGCGTGGGGGCCCCCAAACTGCAGCGCCAGCCGCCGCTTCCGCAGGAGCAGCAGCCGCAGCGCGCGGAGCACGAGCCCGCCGCGCCCGTGGACGAGGCCCCCCAGTGGCAGCCGCAGGAGAGCCTCCGGGCCTAGAGGCCCGCTAACGAATGTTCTAAGAGCTTTTTGTGGCTTGCACGGGATGTTCTAAAAACCTGTTGTGATTTCTTCTCGTCGTCGTCGTCCTCCTCCTCCTCCTCCTTCTCCCCCAGGCTTTTTGTTCCACGTTCTGGCGATCACAGCGTTGAGCGGCGCTCCGACGCCACACCAGCAGCACCCTAGTTGGTGCCAACCCGCGGTGGTGTCCTTGTCTTTGTCCTTAACGGGATGTTCTTAGAACATGTTTGACTCATACGGTCTTTTGTTAGCACATCCCGTTCATGTTCAGAGATCATTGTTCTTGCTCGTAGAAGACTTGTTCGGTTCTAAGAGCATGTCGTCGTAGGCCTGAAGGAATGCCCAGACGGTCGGTCCCTGATCCAGGGGTGGAGTCCCTTCCAGGCACAACAAGGAACCGCAATCACAATTAAGTGGATTTTTCGGGAGGGCCCCTCGGGGGAGAAGCCACCGACCTCGACATGAACACTTTGATCGTAGTTCTGGTCGATTTGGGCGTCCTGGGACGCCACATCGACCGCTAACAGTACGACGCTGGCTTCGGTGTTCCGAAGTCTGTTGGCATGCGCAAGACATCCCCCAGGGTGTGTCCTCGGTGTGGTTATGGTCGCTTGCTGTCCTCGCAGTCCCCGCGGCCCGCGCGCGCGCGGGGCGGCTCACGGTCCGATACGACCTGATCCGATCCCCGAGCTTCGATTCCGATGTCGATGTCGACCCGATCCGATCCGACATTCCTGCGCCTCCAGTTGTCCGCAGTCGCTGGCTGGCGCCACTGGAGGCCACTGGAGGCCACTGGAGGCCACGGGGTGGCCACTGGAGGAGCCACTGGAGGCCGCTCGAGGCTGACGGGGGCCACTGATGTCCACTGGAGGAGCCACTGCCGCCACTCAGGTGATTACGAACGGCTCCCAGGAGCGCCTTGTGAAGACCGGTTCCCTCTCTGGCATGGCCGGATCCGTGATCCTTCAAACGATTGGACCCCGACCGTGCTCCACGGCGATCCGGGCGCGACCCGATGCGTCTCCGATTCGGCCTGGCAGGAGGGGCGGAGGAGGAGGAGGAGACGGAGGAGGAGGAGGCGGAGGAGGAGACGGAAGAGGAGGAGGAGGAGGCGGAGGCGGAGGAGGAGGCGGAGGAGGAGGAGGAGGAGGAGGAGGAGGAGGAGGAGGAGGAGGAGGAGGAGGCCAAGGAGGCTCAGGAGGAGGAGGATGTGGAGGCGGAGGAGGAGGAGGAGGAGGAGGAGGCCCAGGAGGCCCAGGAGGAGCACGACGAGGGCGAGCACGAGGACCTCTACGACGAGGCGGAGCAGGAGGTGCGACGAAGAACGCACCCCTCCCAACCGCGCCACGTCGCCCGCCCGCCGCCCTGAGGAGCGACCGGAGTGCGAGGCGTTGGCCGCGCTCGACGAGCCCGCCTGCCTGGAGGAACTCCACCGCCCCTCCCCCTTGGATTTGGGGTTTACCGAGTCGCTTTCCCGGCCCTTGCTCCTTGCTGCTGCTGCTGCTGCTGCTGCTGCCGCTTTTGCTACTGCTGCTGCTGCTGCCGCCCTCCCCCGCTCTCTGTCGGCCACGCGCAAGGAGGGGGGTTAGGGGGAGGGGGTGAGGCTTCTGAGAAGCCTTCCCCCCTCCTCCGA